AGAAAAGCTCTCTCAGAGGAACTTGACGGAGCGAGGTTCAACTCGGGCAGCGCTGGGGCAGCGCTCCCGCCTCGGCTGCGCACGGAGCGCTCAGGGAAAACGCGAACTTTCATTTTCACGCCGCATCCTCCCCCCCGCTCCCCTCCGGCCCGAGCTGTGACTGAGCGTAAGGTACCTGATGGCCGGGTAGTGCTCCCAGCCCCGCTCAGGGATGGGGAAGCCGATATGGAGGTTAGGGAGCTGCCGAAAGCAGCGGGGGAAAGGCAGGCTGCGGTGCCGCCCGAGCCACTCGCTGTCTGCACTTGACTTGTATCTGCTGGAGAGTCCTTCCCTGGGAGCTCCGCGGACCCTGCCTCGGCAGGGAGATCCAGCGCATCCCTGCCAGCCGCTCCTCGGGCTTTCTGACTTCAGTGTTTTGTTCTGTTTTGTGGTTTTGTTTTTTTTTTTAGTCTGATGCGCTTTTTTAAAAAGGGAAAAGAAAGCAGAGGCCTGAGACCTGCAAACTGTTGTTCCCATGACTTCGGGGAAGATTTTTCAAAAGTACAGAATGAGAGTCTGGGAGCTCTGGTCCCACTGACTTTCAAAATCTTCCCTTCACGTCTGTGAGCGAGTCATCTTGAACTCGGTTGACTGCTGGCAGACGAGCACTAGCAGGCTCAGGGCCTAATGCTTTTCATGATTCCACTGCTCCCTGCTAGAGCTGCACACTGACAAAAATATAAGCAGAACAAGTTTTTGAAAGGGAGAGGTAATGTCTCTTTTTTTTTTTTTTTTTTTTTTTTTAACCAACTGCCACAGTAGAAAACACGAAACCTTTGGTCTCAAAGAACTTAGACCATCATGGCTACGAAAACTACTGCTACTCAGAAAGTATGTAATTCTGGAGCTCCTTAGTGACGAAAGTAGTGCAAGGCAACATGTAAGTAATCATATAACTAATTTTAGGCATTTGTTATTATATTTTCCTCGGATTTGAAGTTTGGTATTGCTAAAGAAACAGATTCCTAATTTTTTAAACCAGGTTCTCAGTGAAAATGAGCCAGATAAAAAAAACTTCTGTTCATAAAGCCGTTCTATTAATAAGGAGGAAATATAAATGATTTGCAGTGTATTTACGTTTTTGCTCTTCTTTTAATAAAATTACCCTGAGCAAAATTTTCGAAGTGTGCCTTTCAACTGAAAAGAAATATTTTTAATTTTTTTTTCCTGAAGGTTATGTGCTTGTGAAAATAAAACTTTGCAGTAGAAATAGCAGTGAAAACAGTAAAAAAAAAAATTATGATGCTGCTGATACTACTTCTCTTTACTTTTGCCCTAAAATAATTCTAGCTATAATTTTTCACCCATTTTTCCAACCAGAGTATAGAAATAAGGTGTAGAAGATGGTATGTCAGTATTCTATGATACACTGTTTCTATGATACATGGTATTCTCTAATATGAATCACACTATTATCCTTTCAGATGTCATTTTGTTAAGATTTTTAATGAAAGTGAAATTTTTACATCCTCTAATATCTAGTACTTGCTTTCAGATTCCATACTTAATGCACATAGGCCCCAATCCTGTACAGACTGAAATGTATATTATTATGTGTAAGCACATTGAGTAGTTCTCTTCAGTATTATGCTTTTGTATTTTGGATTTAAGAAGCTAATAGTGATATTACATAATGATTGTTCTCAGAATTACTTAGGACTGCCCAAAACATAAACCTAATTTAATAGTCTTGGTTTATGCCTTCCATGCATATCTCTTAACTTAAATAATGCATAATTAAAATAATTTAAGGATCAGAATGGGTAAATATTTAACTGAAAATCAGAACGAGTGAGAAAGGCAATTGCTGTAGTGTAAAATCCGTGTAATACGAGGTAGGTATTGCATTCCCTGGCTGTAGCATCTGGGAGAGGATCATCAGTTTGTTTCCTCAGTGACTACTGAAGCCAAAAAGTCACAGCAGGAACACAGCTGAAGACAGAAGGGAGAGAAAGGGATTTGTAGCCTCACCAAAAGTGATGTCAATTCTTTAGGTCAAATTTCCATTCCAAACCACTTGGGCTTATTAGAGTGGTGGAAGTCTTCTCTGCTGTGGTAGCAAATATGAGGTTAAGCTGCAGTTTCTCTAATGAACTCCTTTCCTAATGCAGTTCTCATTACAGGCCTATCTGAACACCTCCTAGTAGTGCCTGTCCTATGTTTCAGTTCTTCTCCTCAGACAGTGCCATTGAATTGTCAGAGAATCTCCTCATACTGTAATAAGTGACATGACCAGCATTTGTCATATTAGCTATTCTCTTGTTGCCAGGGGAAGGAGCACGTGCAGTTGAATATTTTCAGTTTATTTTTTCTGTCTTTTCTTCCATATACATAACATAATGTCTTTATGTTAGTGAGGCAAGGCTGAAATAACAAGTTTTGTTTTTCAGGCAAGGTGCAGTTAGGTTTCTGATGGCCCTTAGCTTCTAGGCACTTTCATTCCTTAGATTTGCACCAGCCCTTTGAAAGTTCTGTCTCTGGAAATGATAGCTTTTTTTCCCATTCATTGCATAGGTTCTCTTACGTTGGATGAGGGAAACTGTTAACACCTGGATCCAATCGAGGGACCTAGTAGGCCCTTCTTTAGGAATCCTGGATTTAGGCCCTGGAGGATCTTGAGACCCTGAATTTGTAAATTAAAAGTCTAGAGAAAATCATTAGAGAGAGTGGTTTATAATATAATCTGTGTTGCTGAGATGACATCCCCACTGCTTCCTGTACTTGGAGTTTCCTATATGCAGCAGACTTTGTGCTTGGATATACTGAATTGTCTAGTCCAGCTGAGAGGTGGAAAACCAAAGCAAGGTACTTATCTGCTGAAAGGACAGAAGCTTATAGCTAGGAGTGGTTAGAAAGCTGCAGGCTGTCTTCTGACTCAGGCACGCATTGCTTTACAAATTACTTTGCTATGTGTTTCTAAGATTTATTTTACAACTGTGAGGATTAGAGGAATTTGTTGTAATGAAAATTGGCATTGTGTCATTACCATGTAACTTTTTAGTTAGATTATTTGGCTTGCTTGAGTTCTTGCATGTTATTCCATTTCATCTGGATCAGTTCCTAGGTAAGTTAGACCAGTTTGGGGGCGCTAAGATGCACCCACATAATTATAATAATTGCACTCCTACATATTACTTTGGTGTGTATTTCTGTGTTTGTATTGTATATGGGCATACAGCCAGTGGGAGTTTGAATTTTTTTCTATTTATTTTTCTAAGTTGAGCCCTGCCTTGCCCCTGATTTTCATCCAGCCTTCTAGATCCCTGTTATAGGAATCAGGCCTCCTCTGAAAATTTTGTATCACTTGAAGTTTAAAGTTTCAGTTTAATAACCTACTGACTGTAGTTGGACATCCTCTTTCATGTGTGAGTGTTCTACTTCCTTCTGTAGCCCTTCAGTTTCTGATTTGCCCTGACAAATATGGGATTTGGAATTGCTTTTGCAATTTCAATCTGCTAGCAATGATAGAGTTTGTAATCTAGAAAGGACTGAAGTAGACATAATTTACTATTGTACAATGAAAACAGAGTTTTGAATTTGCCAGAATAGACCTGATCTAGGGATGCTTCTATAGACTGTAAGGACTGCAAGAAGTATGTGCTGGCTTAGGACCTGTGTATACTTTATTAGACTTCCTATGAACTTGCAGATCAAAAATAAAATTTTTTTTTGTTTGTTTTTTTTACCTCCTAATTTTCCAATAGGACATTTTCCATTTAGCTTTTTTTTTTAAACCTCTAAAATGCTCGGTGTAGCATAAGGACTAAGGATGTTGTTGTCAAAAGGTTGGATTTACTATATTTTGTTCACATCTTTTAATATTGACTCCAACACCTATAGGCCTGACTCATAATAACAAACATGTCCCTGAGGATTTAAGAAAGGATTTGATATTAAACTTAGGTTCTGTGGTAAAGTTTTGCTAAAATGGCCTAACTGTAAATTCTAAATGTTTTAATATTTTTGTGAATTTAATGATTGTGAAAAGTGCTGGCTCGGTATCTGTGAAAACTGAAGCCTATTCTTTATTCATGGATTAATTACAGCAGAGCAGTTGCCAAGTGATCTTCTCCACAGCATGCATGAACTTCAGCCTGGAACTGAAGAGGACTCATCAAATGGTGAGAAAATAGCGTGGTTGTCATGACTGTTAAGTTAGGGATGCTCCATTATTTTTTTCTGCTTAGCATTGATTCTGTTATTTTATAGGTATTGAAGTTAAATTTTTGTAGGGTAATTTCTGGCGTCATAACCTAATTTCTTCTCCACCCCTCATATATCAGCTCTTTATTTTTCAAGCTTTGCTTTCTTCCTTGCTGTCCTTCACTTTTCAGAAATAATTGTTAGTGATACCCTGCATTCATCAGCTAATTTCTTTATTGCTTCCTTTAATGTTAGTCCTTGTGCTTGACTCTGTTCACGAGTAGTTTTATCGGCAGCACTACTTAGAAGAGTGAAGTTCAGATATGTGAAGCTGTTTGAAAGACTGAAGCTTAAACTTTGCAGATATGTATGCCTGCATTTAAATGAAATGCTACTGAAATGAATGGAGGAGTGAGGGATCTGGAAATGCTCTTAGCTAGTACTAATTTGTTTACTCTTTTGCTGTTGAGTTTATTTCTTGTAAGACAACTTGATGAAAGTTGTTCATTTACTTCTCTAGTTTCCCAATTTCTGGGAAATTTTGAACTCTGAGCTTCACAACGTTTATAAAATTTTGGTAGTGCTCATAATTCTTCTGAGAACAAAACATTATTTTGTTTAGCCATTTTAAGAAAAGGTAACTGAATCTACAGAGGAACTAATTCTCTCTCTAATTCACTGCCTTATCAGGTCTTTAGTCTTACTCTTAATAATAATTAAGTAATGATTTTTATATGTATGGATTTATTAAACATGTATCTTAAAACGAGCGAGTTCCCTTTTTTTTACAGCTATAGATAAAGGATGGAATATTGGTAGCAGGGGCTTGCATGTGAGAATATAGTTGTTGAGCATTGAGTTTGGCTTAGTGGTACTTTAGATAGGTGACAGTTAAAAATAAGAGTGCACACAATGCAGTTCAGGAAACAGATCACAGTAGTCAGAACTTCACAGAATGCTGAGAGATGCCCTAAATGTTTTTTGATGTTTCAACAAATGGCTCAATAACTGTTTCCCTTTAGTAACTGTTGTAGAGCAAGAACTAAAAGGGACAGAACCCTGTTAGTGGCATAT